CTCAGTGATTCCTGAGTAAAATTAAGTAAACACATTGTCAACGACCAAATTTGCCATTAATGTTTCCGGGACCCACAAAAACTGTTGCGGTTGCTTTCCTATTTTTTTAATAGCATAAATAGTCCAAGATATTGTTCGCTTACTGAATGGTCGAAAACATCAAAACACATACCCATTTCTGAGAAATGGGTATGTGTAACTTGAACTGATATAATAGAGGGTCAATTGTCTACAGATTTTTCTCTTGTTCTTTTATGTTAGAAGGCTGTTTACTGTTGTTAACGTATTACAGAATAAAGAGAGTATACAGCTGGTACGTTACGTAAATGTTTCGAAAAACAAGCTATAAACCTGACAGATTGATAAAAAGTATTATAATACATTGATTGTCAGAAGTCGCGATCAAACCATTGAATTGATTTTGTTGATTTGCCAAATTTGAGATTTGCTAAACTTCTGATATGTTGTCGACATAAATAAAATAATGGTGTTTGAGGAATACAAGAATAATGATGATTTAATGTTAATATTTCTCGCATCATAGGAACAGCTGGATTTTCATTATTAACAGTAAATGATGCATAATCAATTAATTCAAGTAATTTACTAGTAATTCACAACTTAGATGTTCAGCTCTACACGTTGAAGCGAATTTTAGACTCTGGTGGAATCGAATTACAAGTGAAATAGGAAACGAGTTGATCATCATTATCTTTACTTGATAATTTAGTTAAAGATCTAAACCATAATCATCAGCAACATATTTCAAAATATACGAAACAAAATTCATAAATGATATTCTTATATGGGATTGAATCAACTAGACTAGTAAAATGTTTTCCACATAAAGTATCTTTTGCAAGATCATAAATTGAATTATAATTTTTTCGTAAAGATTCTTCTTTCATTCAAACATTTTCATGATAACTTGCTATAATATGTTTTTGTACAATGGCTTCTGAATCAGAGCTCTAGCTTAACAACTCAAGATTTTATGAAATGTTTAGATTTTCAGCTCTACGCGTTGAAACGATTTTAAGAAAATTCTAAGCGCTAAAGTTTTTCGTAGAAGCTCGTCAAATACTTACGTTTGTTCATTTTTCAATTATCTGCCGATTTAACGCAGGCTCCCACCGCCAACCTGAGCTGAGTTATTTTCTATTCTAAATGCGTTTTCATCATCACCTATAATCCGAAAAGTCCGATTTTTTCCCCGAGACAAAAGAAAGAGCACATCTTGAAATCCTTCAAAAGGCCTGAGTTTCAAGACAATCGCATAACACGTTAAAGATTTAACCTAGACCAGTTTTCTCGTGAAAGACGCGAGAGACTTAGTGGCAGTTTAAAAGCACAACACTTAATTTAAAAGGCTCGGTATTTCTTATTAATAAATGCGCTGAAAAAGGAGGTTTTTTTTGAAGGAGCAAAGCATGCAAAAGTAGTTTGTTTATCAAAAGAAGGTCTATATCCGCAGGAAAATCGACTCCGCCCTATCTCTCTGGTTCCCAATATTGGAAAATGGTTTGAAAGGATTGTTTATCAACGTATTTTAAATTGGCGTTACGAAAAGGGTATCTATGTTGATGAACAATCAGGTTTTACACCCGGAAGGAGGCTGCAAACAAGGATATTATCTTTATGCGAAGATTTAAGACTAACAGTTGCTGCTAGTAATCGTCCAGGATTAATAATCTTCGTGGACTTTATGACTGCCTTTGATCGGATGTGGTTTTCAGCTCTGATAAGTAATTTATTAGAACTGGAAATGCCGCTGGAACTGGTCCGGTGGATATATCTGTGGCTGCAGAATACATCTTTCTCAATCTGCCACGGTGAAGCCAGCTCAAGAGTAATAAAACTTTTGGTGGGAACTCCTCAAGGTTCAGTACTTGCTACTACATTATTCCGCCTTCACATCCATTTTCTTCCTAAATATTTCATGCAACTAGTTACACATTTATTTGCGGACGATCTGGTCCTTGTTTTTCTCGGATCATTGGAGAAGCGTTTTTCTGTGAATATTGAGGAATTAGAACAACGGGCTAGGATAGCGCTAGGTTCATTAGCTAAATTCGCGGATGATATCATTCTACCGGTTAATGTATCAAAAACAAA